GCACTGCCTGTATTAAGAAACTATAAAAGTCCCCCCCCCCCCCCCCCCCCAAAAAAATTTTTTTTTTTTTAAATTTTAAATTAAAAATAATAATATTTTTCTCAAAACTATTAAAAGGAAGATATTGAATTGATGTGCAAGTCTAAGACACGTGGTCAAAAAATCTTGGAGATTCGCTTCTAACTAGACTTTTATTGTGGAAAAATAAATTGCATAAAGCCCTTTCAATATTCGTTAACAATTTGAGCAACTTGATGCCCCTTGAACCGCGAGGCCGCCTAGAAGTTCCAGGCGCTCAAGAATGTTTGAAGGCCCTCAAGATTGTGTGAGGCCCTCCAGACTGTGTGAGGCCCTCTAGATTGTGTGAGGCCCTCCAGACTGTGTGAGGCCCTCCAGACTGTGTGAGGCCCTCCAGGCTGTGTGAGGCCCTCAAGATTGTGTGAGGCCCTCCAGACTGTCTGGAGGCCCTCCAGACTGTCTGGAGGCCCTCCAGACTGTGTGAGGCCCTCAAGATTGTGTGAGGCCCTCCGGACTGTGTGAGGCCAGGGCGGGTCATTAAAATATTGATAGCGTTCAGGAGCGTGAAAAAATGTGCGCTTGTGAGCCTTGGGGGGAGGGGGGGGCATTAATTTGGGGATTCTCGAATCTTAAGTCCCCCTTTGCTCGAGATTACATTTTATAAAAAGGATTCATACGAGAAAACTATGTTTTTAAGGGTTGTTAAATTTAAGATTCAGATTGTATAATTTGAGAAGCACTGTTACAATAAGAACATATTATTTGTAACTTAACCTTTTTATCCGTGCAGGTTCTAGGGCTTTAAACAACATTTCACTTTTTTTTTTTTAACTTGAACTAAGTCAGCTTCTGCCTTGGTGATTACTGGACATGAGTCTTTTCTTAGATCTAGGCCGTGCACAAACATGTTTATATGTCTTATTTTATCAGTATCAGCTACGCGCGTTGAAGAAAAAAAAGTGTGTGGGTGGGGGGGGGGAGGGATGGGGTACAAATTTAGTAGTTTGGTTAAGAGCTACCCACTATTTCATTTTTTTTTTTTTGTTTGGTTGAGAGCTTTCTACTATTTCATTTTTTTTTTTTTTAAATTTTGCGATCCTAATTCTAGTAACCCCTAGGGGTGGGGAAACCTATGGCCCGCGGGCCACATCCAGCCCGCTGAAACGTTTACTTCGGCCCGCGAAAGTGATCCGGGATTTCGATTCATGTTGTAGTAGATTGGCGAGATTGCGAAAATTCAATCTTATAAGCCTTTGAATTAGAGACCGACCGATAGTGACTTTCTGATCTCGGCCGAAGCCGAAACTAGGCCGAAAGTTAAAATTGACTTTCGGCCGAGACCGAAGCTGAAACCAAAATATAAATATATATATTTTGAAATTCTTTCATGCATACATTCTACATACATCGATGGGGGAAAGTATCAATATTTACGTTCCTTTTATAAATAATTATATCATCGAGAATATTAATAAATAAACATCGAATGAATGTTAGACTGCGACGAAGCCACGACAAACAGTTCCGGCTGGTAAAAACAAGAACAAAGTACAGAAGCTCCTCATTCCTGTCGAAGACAATAGGGGACTGGAACAAGCTTCCAAAAGCAACAGTTGAGGCAGCTACACTAGACACATTTGTGTCTATTGCCTCCTGTATTCCAACCCCCAGTTCATAACACCACTGCTGAGCCGCCCATGCAACCAGTGAAGCATCCCATCGAAACCCATGCACAGTAACATCGCAAACCCCTCTGAAACATAGGAGCCAGAATGATCAATTCATTGATCGTGGGCCCTTAAAATAAAGAAGAAGAAGACTACTTTGGCTTTTACCATTTACATTTAAGAGTAATTTGAATTTCTTTAAGATGTGTTGTTTTTTTAAGTAGTATGAGTATGGTAAGAGAAAATTTGGACCTGGAAATGCGCTGCCCCCCTCCCCCGGGGAAAGCCAAGTGCCACCCGGAGCAAAAATATGTCCAACAATAAATCAACTGGCACTGCTGGCACTGCCTGTATTAGGAAACTATAAAAGTCCCCCCCACCCCCCCCCCCCCAAAAAAATTTTTTTTGTTTTTTTGTTTTT